TGAGTAACTTAACCCTGGAAGAAACACAATTTCCGTAAGGCTTTGTATTTCCATTTTCTAACTAAATACAGAGACGTTTTCTCCTAGAATTTTGTCCTTTTTTGAATTGTTGGGACCCGGGACTAGGAAAAGCGTACAGGAGTGCTTCTATTGGAACCAATTGGCACGGCCACTGTCGAAATAAATTTACACTGGTTGCTGCATGTATTCAATCGGCCAGACCATCATCTTGGTGTCTTGTGCTGTGGGTTGTTGATTGTGGTTGAGCGACAGCGGTGTACTAATTTTCGGCTCACCTACTTAAGACGCCTCTCAATATATCTTTAGTGACTAGAGAATGGTTCCTTGTGTTGTAACAGGCTTGAAGCGACTCATTTAGATTTTTGTGTCTGTGAATATATTTCTAAACTCTGAACATCTCTGTCCTGACAAACCTTACCATAAGATGAGAACCGTTATCACATTTCCTTTATTATTCAAAATATATAATGATCGATACAATTACAGAATTTATCACAAAAACAGAATTTTAATCAAAGCGTAGGTGGCAAGAAAGGCTTCAACATACACGCGCATACAAACTCAACAATCATAAAATCACGAAATTTATGAGAGGTGCCACAAATTCTAATCAGATTCTGAAGTACTCAGTCATCAGACCTAATAATCCTGATGTCTAACGGACGAGGCAGCCAGTATACGCTAATAGCCTCGGTGATGTGAAGGCCTTTGCTACGTCAGAGTCACCGACATTGTGCATCGGCTGCATCCCAGCTACCGCTAACCAGCTCAAACAATCCGTACACTACCAAAGTAGTTCGTTACTGGTTGTCCCTTGATATCCTACCATCTACTCATATTGACATGCTGTGCCGGACTGGGATAGAGGAGGACAGCTTAACCGATGATCTCTCAGATGCTTAAATGGTTTTACATCGACTTGTGTCGGGTCTAGAGTCACATTCCGCCTGTTTGATTGACGTTTTGCTGCGCGAATTGGGTTTACTAGTGAGGATTGATAGGTCTCTTTTAGGTGGAGCATTTGGCTTTGCAGTTTTTGTTGTTCTCTGTCATTAAAAAATGAACGCCCCAACTTCGTCGTTCAAACGAAACATTTTATGGATTTTTTTTAATCCATGGCATTCGTTTGGTTTTGTAGTAATTCCTAAATGAACTCATACGGGAGTGAAATTGGTGTATCTGGAAACGCCAAATTTGTAGCAAACTGTCAGTATTATTTCCGATGGATGAAAAGAAATGAAGTACCGCTTTAATATCTTTGATATCTTTCCTAGCCGCACCATATTTCAAACCTCTACATGTTGTCTGCAAAGACATCCCGGCCGTAAATCATATCCAACTGTCCAAGGTCTGACCCCATCGTGATGCTGATGTGATAACCAGGAGCATTTGTATTTCGTACACGAAGAAGTAATACGCAGAAATGTCCAATTAGAATGAAATGAACTCAGGAAGAACTATATGACGACTATCATAAGTATGGCAACCATCTTGTGGTTAGGTCCGTTAATGGAGTTTACAGTGCACTAATGAGTCTCACAGTTATAGAAAAACTGGTGCTTCACATTGACAGTCACGCGCTTTTCGAGTTGTTAAATCACAACAACTGCGAATTCGGTTTTAGTTCTGCTGAGCCATGTCCGATAACCATAATCCTTCGAGCAGTGAAAGTGATGTCATCATGGTGATGAATGATATAGGACGAGTGTTAAATAACATCATGTCGCAACGATTTACCAGTTGGGATAATTTTGATACCCACCGTAATTAAGTGCATAATGTATTATGACGTACATTTGGGCATAATACGTACGCTAACTATGTCTTATTGGTATGCAAGAAGGACGAGTTTGACCTAACTCTCAAACGATTTTTCATCAGATATGTGTGCACACATGGACGTGAACACAATTGATTAGGATCGAATGCTTGCCTTCAAATAGTCAGGAGTAATGGTGATCAACATTCTTCCAATGACTATTCCCTCCTCACTCACTACTACGACTTAGTCAAAGAAGACGATTTCGGTTGCGACTGCCAATCTGGATATTGGGTCCGTGTAGTAAATGGTGAGCCGATGGTCACCTCTCTTGATACCGTTCCCAACCGTTCTTGCACAGAAGCGTGTATTCATGTGTATCTCTCAAAATGACAGTTAATTTCTAGTGAACGATTGATTTGCGGCCGTTCTTCTTGAGAAATAAACCAAATAGTAGCATCTTACATCCTACCACCTGGTAGTTCCACATGCAGCTAACCGATGAAGATGTTAAAACATGCTTTCACATCTTTATTCACGTTGATAAACCCATGTTCTAGTAAAATGACTTCAGGCAACTAATAAGTCAATGGTATTTTACTGCACATCCAGCACAGCATGAAAGTGAGGATACTTTACACCTATTACGACAATCAAGGTGGATCCGATGCAGATGTGAGGGCGCGGACTGGCAAAACAAGGGCTGCATTTCTACAGTTGAAAAATATCTGGAACTCCAAACAAATATGAATCAACACCAAAATCAGGATTTTCAATACGAATGTCAAGACAGTTCTACTGTATGAAGCGGAAACTCGGAGAACCACCAAAGCCATCATGCAGAAGATACAAGTGGAGGAGGACGTCAGGAAGAAGCGATGGTAGTGGATAGGACACACACTACGATAATCACCTAACTGCGTCACAAGACAAGCACTCACATGGAACCCTCAAGGCAAAAGGAAAAGAGGAAGACCAAGGAACACATTACGCCGAAGAATAGAGAAAGATATGAGATGAATGAACGAACATTGGACAGAACTTGAGAGGGAAGCCCAGGACAGAGTTGGTTGGAGAAAACTGGTGGGCGGCCTAGGCTCCACTGGGGGTGACAGGCATAAGTAAGTAAGTAAATAACTTTAAAATTTCGCAGGCTGATTTGAGCACGCTTTTCTTTCAGTATGCACAAGTAAGATCGGATATACCTGACAGTAATGGACTCCTGTATGATTCAAATTATAGTTTCCATTTAATGTAACTGTTGCAATTATAGTGACCTTTTCTCCAGAGTTAATATTGTATAGATACGCTGAGATCAACCATATAGATCTTTGAATGTGCTTCATTATCGCAAAAAAGATAGCTCCAGTGTTCCAACAATAATTTTTATTTGTGATCTTACACTAAAAACCAGTGTCTTAATTGATTCTACTTTGTAAATGATTTACTATCAGCAAATACAGCCGTAGGAAGAAACTAGACAATTCATTAACTTGACTTCATAATCATAACAGAAGGGTGTAGACATTATAGAACTTTACTCTAGTGAGGAAATCTGTGTTAGCGATTCCGCTCACACTTGTAATGTCCAGAATTTAGTAAGTGTGCATCTACTCTGAATATTCCTTACGTGCTAAAAGTGTGAGCAGTGGATGGTGAGATTATCTGGAGGAAAGAAGAGCGACAAAAAAGTGATCCGGAGACTCAAAAAACACATAAAATGCGCCAACGTTTACTCAAAGAAAGCAATATACTTCAATCAGACAAAAAAGAAGAGTTGGGTTAGGACAATCTGTTGATTAATCGATGGCGTAAGGCTTCCAATGCTTCACAAAAACCAAATGTCTGTGGAAGAATATTTAAAAACATTAGACACCCTGTTATTTACAGCTAACACAAAAATTATTTTGACCTCTCATCAAACAAGATTGAAACTTAGATATGTTTTTTTCGCCTGAAGTTTGTCAAATTTTAAGGCGCCAATTTCACGGCGTTCGTCTAACAAGTAAGCATGGGGGCCTACATGTCAAAGCCGAAAACAGAGAAAATCTCTGATAATGGAGCAAATCAATGGATATCTTATAGCTCCTGTTCGATGCAAGGATGGAGAATGCATCAAGAGGTATGTAAGAAAAACAGATCACTACTTTATTTAACTAATGTTTTTCATGATTTGAAAATGTCATTCTTTGTATTTGCATCTTCTCATCTATCGTCTTGTAACTTGGGTCTCTTAAATTTTCGTTCGTGTATTGTGCGGCTTCGGAAATAACAAATTTCAGACTTTGTACTATAACATCCCTTATTTTATTACGATCATATGCACCCTATTAATGGATATCCGTTGACTATTGATCAAGCCTAGCTTGTAGTCATATGCAGTCGTATCGTCTTATTGGCTTTTATCTCATTCCAAATTCTGAATTACTTGTAGTTTTATTCTTTCTCAAACTGATGAGAAATCCAATATTGCCGAAATGTTTGCTGGAATAGGATAAAGATGAATTATGAAGGGCACTGTTTCCAAGCCTATAAGCGTAGTTTGAGGCTATAGTTTTGCGGCTTTCAGGGGCTGGTTCTCAAATTTTGAAGTCTTTTTAAGTAATGTCGTTCATTGTAGGTGAAATGTGCTTTAAGCGTTTCTAGTTGAAACAATGCTTATTTATGGTATTTCGTGTTATAGTATACGGCTGGAAATCATATAGACCAGTAATACACTATGAAGTTCATCTTTTCCAAATTTTTATTTCAATAATGTATGTTTTCTAATGTGTCCATGGGATTCAGCAACTTGAGTGCTGTTTTTTTTCGACTGACTGGATTCAGCCATGGTAGAGGATATTTGTTGGTTACTGATACCGTTGATGGCATAATGGTATTTAATGCCGTGTCTAATATTCATCTGCACATTTTCTAGAACTTTAGGCCCCAATTATTGGAACATCTAATTAATTCGTCCAGGTTAGCTTGAATATCAAGATGATCAGCCTCACTACTTACAGTTCTCCTAATTTCGACAGTGTACAAATAACCGCCGAAAAATTAAACGGTTTCGGTAGTTCATTGATGTAGAGTAGAAACAATAGGGGTCCCACCCACCACTCTTGACCGGTTTTCATCCGGACAGTGTCCTATTTACAGTCATCCTTAGTCTTCGATCACGAAGTTTTTTATCCGCACATGTATTGCATCTGTTATTCCAAAGCTGAAGGACTTCTACAACATGGTTCCAACCAGGCTGTAAAACTTCGTATCAGTCTATGAATTCAGTGAATAAATGAATGAATGGTTTGATTCATATTAGTAAGTACAGATCACTTCGGGCTTCAATGATGTTGTTCCGAATCAGTCACACTGGTGTAGATCTATTCATTCTTTAACTTTCCTCCAAAACGCGAGTTCCACTATTTATCTTCACAATACACTACATCTTTTCGAACCATATTTGCAATATCTACTCATTGTCACACTATTGCTGGATTTGCAACAGTCTAACCTTATTTGTACCAGACTCCATATTGATTATGAGTGACTACATTCACGTTAGAGAATATCTCGTTTGAGTTAAATTTATAATATTAAGCAACCTAAGAATTATCGTTAATAGTATGGGATTAGTGAACCACTTGATGATGATGATGGTGTTTTGGATGTGTAGTTGCGTTTGAGTATCAATCTAAATCTTCTTGTTTTTTGCCCGACCGAAGCTGCTACCTTGACGTGGTAGTCGGGCATGCCTATCGTGATGACCCAACCGAGCTATACTGGCTGGAACACCTGTTCCTGCAGGTCCTACCATGCCAGGCAGGTCGATTGGAGAACGATGAGACTAAAAGCAGCTACCCAAGGTCTGAGGGCGAAGTCGTACTGCTGACTGCAGAGGGGTGTGACAGCAGTAAGGTGTTTCCCTCGGACAACCAGCATCTGCAGCGGTGCTGCCTTCTCACAAGGAAGGAAGGGTTAGAAAAGGTCGACCCTAAAAATGTCACACCTCCCCTACCTCACGGATTTCCGTCTCCTTGGGTAAGGGTGCCCACTAAGGGCCTTTAAGAACGGAGCTAATCCTCTAAATACATCATAAAAAGGCCGTGCGTGACCGGCCTCAAGCAGTTGTCCCTTGGGCTCTGCGGTCACGCACCAACACTAATCCATCTTCCTTTTCAGGTTCGTCAAGAAACAACCTTCCACGGTGTGGGCAGCCGGGAAGTGATAACCGCCCTCATACCCGCAACAGCACACGAGACAAAATTGTTTTCAAATCTGGTCCTATCGACTATTTATTGTAACAGTTGTTTAAGAATGCCTTTTTTATAGCATTAATACCTCTACCATCTTTATCACTATGGGATTTGATTTGACATTTGCGTCTCTGTGCTAATAATGTGGTATGGCAACATGAACTTATGTACATACGTACGAAGTTCTACGTTGCAACTGACTGACTGACTGTTTAAAAATGCAACTACATAATATTCTAATAGATTGTCAAAGTATTTACTAGATCAATCAATAGGTAATAGTAGACAGTTGTTCCGCATAATCCAAGAAACCGGTATTAGTAATCCATCTGTTAGCGAAACTATCTCAGTAAATAATGAACTTACTATTCATTCTCAACCCAGGAGATTGGATCGATGGGCAGAGCAATTTAGGGATCATTTCAATTGACCTTCAACCATACTTTGATTGCCCGAGATCTCCAGTCATCCGGAGTGGCAAATCGATATAAGTCCCCCAAGTCTTTACGAGGATGAGAAGGCTATAGGAAATCTGAAGCGAGGGAGAAGAATGTGCCCCGATAGATTGACTCCTGAGATGTTTAAGGATGGTGGTCCAGTTTTAGAAGTGAAATTGACTGAGGTCTTAGGTAGAATCTAGGAACTGGACGTAATCCTATCCAACTGGTCTCAATCGCTGATTGTCTCAATTTATAAGAAAGGATAAAAGTCCTCTTGTGACAATCACAGAGGAATCAGTCTAACTAATATAGTATCTAAAATATTGGCCTCAATAATGCTTAGAAGCTTAACTAGTGCTCGTAAAGAGCAGACTAGAGAAAACCAGGCTGGTTTTCGACCTGGACGTGGATGTATAGACCAAATATTCACAATACGCCAGGTCTTAGGACAAAGAAATACGTTCGGACGCCCCAAAACAGTTGTATTTCTTGACCTTAAAGCGGCATTCGACTCTTGATCGTGAGGTTCTGTGACAGTGTCTGTCATTAAAAGGTGTTGCAAAGAAGTGCATTAAGCTTATACAAGCTCTCTATTCGAACACTACAGGTTGAGTGAGAGCTTATGGTGAACTGTCATCGGGATTGATTACTTCAAGTGGTGTCCGTCAGGGCTGTCCACTCTCCGCATACTTGTTTAGCCTTGTTGTAGACATGTTTTTAAAAACAATGTTATCCTCATCTGACTTTTCAGGAGTGGATCTTCTACCAGTAGACTCACTTGTTGACTTGGAGTTTACCGATGAGGTTGATGAAATGCAGTCTTCTGACCACCCTAAGCAACAATGCAAGCATGTTCGGGATGCGGTTCTCACCCTCGAAATGCAAAATGTTGCTTCAAGATTGGGTTGCATCGGCACCTGAACTAATGATAAGGAGTGAAGTAGTCGAGCGTGTAGACCGCTTCACTTATCTGGGGAGTTTCATCAATGCTGATGGCCTGGTGACTGACGGAATCTCAGCTTTTGCCATCCTGCGCCACTTATGGCGCAGGCGAGATATCCGTTTGCTAACCAAAGGAGGAGTGTACTGTGCAGCAGTTCGCTCCGTGTTACTGTACGGATGCGAAACATGGTCGGTTAGAGGAGAAGACATTCTTAAGTTATTAGCATTCGATTATAAATGTCTCCGAAGCATTGCTCGTATATCCTGGGAGTGCTGAGTAAGCAGTGCTGCTGTTAGGATACGAGTGCTAGATAGGGATGGTAGGTCAATTGATGAAGTAGTGAAACTCCATCAGTTGAGGTGGTTGGGACATGTGTTACGTATGGCTAACCACCGACTGCCTCGACGAGCTCTATTTTGTGGTTTAGGAGTAGTTTGAAAGAAAGCTAGGGGTGGCCAAACAAAAACACAGCACAAATCCATGAAGTCACTGACAAATGGACTAAGTCATGTTGGCAGATGTAGGCTACCTGATTGAAGTCCTCGAGACGAAAGTCACAGATGGTTAGAGACCTTGAACGACATGGCTCAAAATCGTTTGCAGTGGAGCAGGTGCACCCACTCTTTGTGTTCTCCCAAATTCTAATCTTCAGAATTCCTCATCATCTCTATCTTCCTCTTTCTTAAGTTATCTCACTGAATTATACTTCTCAGATCATGTGTTCGAATCTCAATCTTCTCCATTACCGGCAATATTTCTACTATCTCTACTACTATGTGATTTGAACTGACAGTTGCTTCTGTGTGCTAATGATGCGTTCTTGCAACTTGAACTTGTGTATTCATGTACGAAGTTCTCAATTGTAACTGAATGACTGACTCACTAGATCCATTGACTTAAAGTTTATAGGACTAGCCTTAGTTTTACTGATAACTCTTAAACTCTAAGCTGTCTAAGTAGGTAGGGGTACTACAGCTAGATCATCATCTGATATCTTTAAAAAACATTTTTGATATACCTACTCCATAGATTGTTTAATTGAACACTTTTTTTTCATTATTCAAGTTCAATAATCAATATGTTGTACTAATGTTACGCACGCACATCAACACGTCAATCGATACACTTGAACTATTATTACGAGTTTACCTTAGTCAGTAAACGAGAGTGAGGATCGATGATACGGCGACACGATAGGCTATTCTAATTTCCCCCGTTTAGTAAAAGAAGAAGACTTGATATGAAGTAGAACGTGTATTCTATACAAGCATCCAGAAAGTACAAGATCCGAGTCCAGAAGAGAGGTTAAGGATATCCAGGTCATAAACCAGTACAGACAGTCCATATTTATACAGGTGGCTTTTGCCAACCTGCGTCACTTATGGCGTAGGCGAGATATCCGTTTGTTGACCGAAGGACGAGTGTACTGTGCAGTGGTTCGCTCCGTCCTAGGCTGTGAAACATGGCCAGTGAGAGTAGAAGATATTCGTAGGTTACTGGTTTTCGATCATAGGTGTCTTTGAAGCATTGCTCGTATATCCAGGGACACCCAAGTGAGCAACGCTGTGATTAGGAAACGGCTACTAGGTAAGGATGGCAGATCAATCGATGAAGTGGTGAAACTTCATCAGTTGAGGTGGTTGGGACATGTGCTGCGTATGCCTAACCAACGACTGCCGCGACGAGCTTTGTTTTGTAGTGTAGGAATAGGTTGGAAGAAAGTTAGGGGCGGCAAAACCAAAACATGGCAGCAATACATGAAGTCATTGACGAATGGACTTAACCATGTCGGTAATTGTCGACTACCTGGTTGGGGTCCGCGAGATGATAATAATCGATGGTTAGAGACCCTAAATGACATGGGTGAAAATCGTTCGCAATGGCGCCGGTGCATTTGTCTTCTTTGTTTTCTCTCAAATCCTAATCTTCTGGATTCTTCAACACCTCTAGTTTTGACTTTCTAAACTTATCTCACTGAATCACATACTTCTTGAATAATATCTTCTCATCCTTACCTCTTCGATTACTTCTAATACCTTTACTACCTCTTCTACTATTGAATTTGAATTGACAATTATATCTCTGTGCTGATGTGGTATGGTGACATGAACTGGTGTACTTACATACGAAGTTCTACGTTGCATCTGACTGACTGACTGACTGATGTACTTACGTACCAAGTTCTACGTTGCATCTGACTGACTGACTGACAGGTGGTTATAGGTCGAATAGGAAACAACATTTAAAGTTTGTGATGACATTGGATAGTTATAGAATGACCAATAGCCACTGACCAATAGAATTTGACTTACAATGATAATTTTTTCTCTTTAGAATATTGAATAAATATCCTATAACAATTAATTTCAAAACTAACTTTATTTATTCATTCATTTATTCATTCAATTTTGTTAGGATGCTCACAATTGTCTACCAAATTTTGATCTATCACAAGGTATCTCATTTTTTGCTGTCTATGATGGTCATGGTGGATCAGAAGTAGCACGATATTGTGCAGAAAATATGCCTAAATTTTTAATGAATTTACCTTCTTATAAAAATCTCAATCATCATAATCATCATAATACTAATAAATTCAATATGAAAGAAACTTTAAAACAATTATTTCTTGATTTTGATGCTACATTAGTAACACCTGAAGCAAAAGTTATTCTTAATAAAATGTCTGAATTAGACAAATTAGACAATGATGATGAGGATGATGCATCGAATAAAGAAGAAACATTATCATCACAAATTCATTATGTAAGTTAATGACATTTATTTGTAATAATTACGGTGTAGACTGCTAATATCGAGAATAATAATCATGATGATGATGACGATGGCGATGAGGCGAAAGAAGATGAACATTATTCCGAGTTATTGGCTTTACGTGCTGAAGCAAATCAACCATTGGAACATGTGTTAGAACAATATGGTGGTGAAGATGCTTTACCTTCAAGTATTAAAGTAAGCTGAATAAATTGTTTCTGTTTTTTCTTTTTTGCATGGTATGTAAATGCTCCTACCGTAGCTGTTATCTTGATGTAGTGGTGGTAGTCGGACCTGCCTATTGTGATGACCTAATCGAGCTAGATTGGCTGGAATACACGTTCCTGTAGGGTTCTGTTAGGATATTCATCTAATATCCTAAGAGAATTTCACTGGTCGAATCCTATTAGTCGATTTCTATTGGTCAAAATTATGGTCGTTATAACTGTCAAAGTCAAATACTTCAATGTTTTCTCTTATTGGCTGTCCTGACTATCATTGTCACTTCAAATGTTACTTCCTATTGGTCGTCCTAAACTGTCAATGCCACAGAATTCGATGCTGTTTCCTATTCGACCAAAATGTATAAATACGCATTATCTGTAACGTTTATTGACCACGACCAGGACCAGGGCTCGGTCCCGGATCCCTAGTCCGGGATCCTGATTCTCTTCTGGATTCGGACCTCGTGCTTTCTGGATGCTTGTAGAATACGCGTTCTACTTCACATCATGTCTTCTTATTTTAACTAAATATGGGGGTTGTAATAATTGGATTTGAGTAACATGTCGTGTCACCGGATCCTCTATCCTTGCTATCGTTTTCCGACTAGGTAAACTCGTAATAGCTCAAGTATATCAAGTTGACGTGTTTACGTGCAGGCGTCGCAGGTTCTACCATGCCAGACGCAGGTCGATTGCAGAAAATCCATAGATTCACTGACAAGTGTACTGAATCATGTTGATAGATGCAGACTACTACCTGGTTGAGGTCCGCGAGATGAAAGTCACCAATGGTTAGAGATCTTGAATGACATGACTCAAAATCGTTTGCAATGGCACAACAGGTGCATCCACTCTTTGTGTTCTCTCAAATACTTTATCTTCCGAATGAATTCCTCATCATTTCTATCTTTCTCCTTCTAAATTTATCTCATTGAATTATACTTCTTGAATTAATAATATCTTCAATCCCTAATACTCTCTCCATAACCAGTAATTCTTATACTATCATCATCTGCGCCTTCATATGCGGTTTGAACTGACAATTGAGTGTTTGTCCTGCTGATATGGTTTGGCAACCTAACATGATTTATTTACGGTATAAAGTTCAACGTTGTAACTCTGACTCTTAGTCAAACATCATACTTAACACTATTGACATAAAAATTTCATTGAAATGTCAAGTTTATATATTTATCTATATAGATATATATATATACAAGAGTGATCAAAATTCGTTTTCTTATTCTCTCAACTATTTACTTATCGATTAAGATCAATATATATATTTTTTATGAAATAAAAGAAAGAAGGCATTCATACTGTGTTGTCACCATAAAAAAAAAAGCCAAATCACCTGATCCACAATCATTCATGTTGTTTTTCATAAATATTGGCGTAGAATAGAACAGTTGAATGGCTTTAACATACATTTTATATATCATGAATCGATCAATATTAGACGACGACTACTACCACCACCGCCGCCAGAAACGTGGAAAGCACTGGGTGATGGGCGTTTTGTCGTGTTAAGCGGGGGGGGGCGGCACTCATCGGCAGTGTGCATGCACGACTCCTACATCTCGCAGGATTCGAACCCAGGACGTATGGTCTTGTGCACGAGAGGTGCAGGAGTCGTGGATACACTGTGCCGAGTAAGTCATGTGCTAGGTAACGATGGCAGATCAATTGATGAAGTGGTGAAACTGCATCAGTTGAGGTGGTTGGGATATGTGTTACGTATGCCTAACTACCGACTGCCTCGACGAGCTATGTTTTGTGGTGTAGGAGTAGTTTGAAAGAAAGCTAGGGGTGGCCAAACAAAAACACAGCACAAAATCCATGAAATCACTGACTAGTGGACTGAGTCATGTTGGTAGATGTAGGCTATCTGGTTGGGGTCCGCGAGACGAAAGTCACCAGTGGTTAGAGATCTTGAACGACATGGCTCAAAATCGTTTGCAATGGCACAACAGGTGCATCCATTCTTTGAGCTCTCTCAAATCCTAATCCTCTGGATTCGTCAGCATCTCTACCTTTGTCTTTCTAACCTTATCTCACTGAATTATACTTCTTGAATAATATCCTCAAACCCTAATCTTCTTCATTACCATTAATACCTCTACTATCTCTACTACCACTATGGGATTTGATTTGACATCTGTGTCCTTGTACTAATGTGTTGGTATGGCAACATAAACTTATGTACATACGTACGTAGTTCTACGTTGCAATTGACTGACTAAGTGCTGATAATTCTTATACCATGACGAAACGAACGTCATCCAATGCTTTGAGGTTTCTGATGTTGGTGATCAATTGATGATTTCTAAGAGAGAGAGAGTAACTTAACAATCTCTTATGTGTGTACAGTAATATATATATATATATATATATATATATATATATATATATAATTATTTTTTCATTAACAAACCTATTTCATAGACTATTCTGGATAGTCGACGTCAACAAAAACTTGGTGAATGTAGTCATCCTACAAGAAGAAGTTCATCGAAAAGTAGTTTATCAGAAGATAAGAATGATTCAAAATTGGATGACAGAATAACAGATTCCAATACTAATGTTGTCAATGTTAACGAGTATGTTGAATTGTTTTTTTGTTTTTCTCCTATCAATGTACACTGTCCTAATGATTTTTGCCCAGTTCTATTTCGGGGGTGGGGAACAATCAATTGCTAGACTCTCTAGATGGGGTTAGGTGTTTTTGCGTGAAACTTTTTGCTGTGGGGTTTGATTCGTGATTGAAAAAAAAAGCTTACAGTTCGATTTGCTTACGAATAATAAACTATTGATTGAGCTAAGTGTATTGCAAAGCATTCGATTAAGGATATATATATTAGGATTAGAGTTTAAGGTAATAGGGGTATGCTGTTTGTAATTTTTAACAATATTAATTTAACTACTTAAATAAAAAATAAGTACTTAATTGCTTCTTTTTGAAATTTTTTTTTACTTCACATCTTTTCCTTGTTAGAACTGTTGAACAAGAAAGTACACGTAAGTTTCATTACACTTTAGATACTAAATATTTCAAATTGATTATGCATATATGTATATATATATGTTAGTTGAAGATGTATGATGATGTACACTACAAACTGTTATTAGCTATTCAATACTTGGTTACAACATGGTTAATTTATTTTCAGCTTCGATCAGTACTCTTGTTTACTCCAATGTAAATCATTGCTACTGAGGCGTGTTACTCCTAGTGGAGCATAGGCCACTAACTAGCATTCGTCAACATACTCTAATCATAGACCTTCTTTTCTACTTCTCCCCCAACTCTTGGCGTAATGTATTCTTTGATCTTCCACTTTCTATTTGGCTTCGAAGACTCATTAAGAGGGCTTGTTTTGTAGATCTGTTGGGTGCTTTCCTCACTATGTGTCCCACTCACGGCCGGCATTTCCTGATCCACTCTTTATGTTTTCTGAAATTCCGACCTGTATCTCATTCTAAATTTATCTCACTGAATTATACTTCTTGAATATCTTCGAACCCTAATCTTCTCGATTACTACCACTACTCCTACTATCTCTACCATTATTGGGGTTTGAAATGACCATCTCGTGTGTCTGTGCTAATGCTACTGTGGTGCGAGCTACTTATAAGTAGTATATGACGTGAGTGTCAACGTAATGTCTGGCAGCAGAAGATGGGGGAAGATCAAGAAAGGAAGAGTTAGAAAACACAATGGAATTTGTGTATGAAACGCATGAATAGTAGTGATAATGGATTGATGTTTCGCAACAGGATCAGTCCAGTTCGATATGATGGACTGATATTTTGCAAATTATCGATTTACGATATGGTTTTCCGATTTTACTGAGTAACTCTGTAATTTTCGTTAAATACAATTCGGCTGCCCTCACCTGTGTTCTCGTTCACTACACTACTATATAGATATGAGATATGATTACTAAGAGTAGAAGATATTCCTAGGTTACTTACTGATTTACGATCATTGGTATCTCCGAATCATTGCTCGTATATCCTTTGGCTATCAAGTAACCAATACTGGTGTTAGGAAACGGGTCCTAGGTAAGGATGGCAGGTTAGTGGACGAAATAGTTAAGCTTCATCAGTTGAGGTGATTGAGACAGGTGTTACAAATGCCCAGACGAGCGATGTTTTTTGGTGTGTAGGAGTTGTAGGCTGGAATAACGCTAGGGTCGGCCAGACCAAAACTTGGCACAAATCCATGAAGTCACCACTGACCACTGAACTGAGCTATGTTCATAGCTGTAAACTACTATCATCTAATTGCATTCCTCCAGACTATCGTAACCAATGGTGGTGGTGGTGGTGGTGGTTGTAGAATTTACATGACATGACTTAAAATCAATTGCAATCGCACAGCTGCATCCACTCCCTAATGTTCTTTCTCATTGATCTATCAATTCCTTGCATGAGTTTTATTAAATTCTCTCTTTTCTAGCTTCTTCTGAATTGAATTCTAAACTAGACAAACCTATTTGTTCTGAAGTGAATAATGATAACGATGATGATGAAAAGAAAGAGTTAATCAATACTGATGATGATGATAACAAATCATCATTGCAAGAATTAACCAATACAATACAATCACATGATACAATTGATCAAAATGAAAATCTATTAGATGAAAGTGATGATGACAGTGCAGATTTTGATCCATTAGTTGAACTTGAAGATAGTGATGATGATGATGAAGAGGAGGAGGCGGAGGAAGAGGGTGATGATGAGGAGGAGGACGACGATGACGAAGAAGACGATGATGATGAGGATGAAGAAGATGAGGACGACGACGATGATGATGATGATGACGAACTAACTGGTTTCTCTATACCACGTTCTATAGCTGATACAGAAGAATCAGAACCTGGTATAGACAGTGGAACGACAGCATGTGTTGCTGTTCTTGTCCCAGTCAATAATTGTATACGTTTATATGTTGCAAATGCTGGTGATTCACGTGCTGTACTATGTCGTGGTGGTGCTGCGGTTGATTTGTCAGTTGATCATAAACCAGAAGATGAAGATGAAAAAGCACGTATTATTGCAGCTGGTGGAAGTGTAACACGTGATGGTCGAGTGAATGGTGGTTTAAATCTTAGTCGAGCACTTGGTGATCATAGTTATAAGGTGAGTATAGTTTCACTTTAGTTAATTCAATATCGTTTCAATTCTTTCACTGATTCTCTCTGTGTATGTATGTATCTGTTATAATTCTCTCTTACCAAGCTATTCTTAATACTTAGTAGTATTCTTGGTGAACGAGAGCTAAGACAAATAATCAAGTGACAACACGATAGGCTACTTTAACCCGAGCGTCCCAAAACCCCACATGAATGGTATCAAAAAATCTTGAAATGGCGTAGAAAGTACACTCTACAAGTACCGAGATATCCGTTTGCTGACTATAAAGGACGAGTGTACTGCGCAGTAGTTCGCTCCGTCTTACTTTATGGCTGTGAAACACGGTCAATGAGAGTAGAAGATATTCGTCGGTTATTGGTTTTCGATCATAGGTGTCTTCGAAGCATTGCTCGTATATCGTGGGACACCCAAGTGAGCAACGCTGTTATTAGGGAACGGGTGCTAGGTAAGAATGGCAGATCAATAGACGCAGTAGTGAAACTTCATCGGTTGAGGTGGTTGAGACATGTGTTGCAAACCACTGACTGACTCGACGAGCGATGTAGGAATAGGTTGGAAGAAAGTTAGGGGCGGCCAAACCAAAACATGGCTGCAATCCATGAAGTCATTGACGAGTGGACTTAGCCATGTCTGTAATTGTCGACTACCTGGTTGGGGTCCGCGAGATGATAATTATCGATGGTTAGAGACCTTGAACGACATGGCTCAAAATCGTTCGCAATAGCGCCGATGCATTTGTGTTCTTTGTGTTCTCTCAAATCCTAATCTTCTGGATTCTTCAACACTTCTAGTTTTGTCTTTCTAAACTTTTCTCACTGAATCATACTTCTTGAATAATATCTTCTAATCCTAACCTCTCCGATTACTTCTTATACCTTTACTACCTCTTCTACTATTGGATTTGAATTGACAATTACATGTCTCTGTGTGCTGATGTTGTATGGCGACACGAACTGATGCGGGAACATAAAACTTTACAGACAATTCATATTTATACAATTAGGTCGACCTTGAATACTAACCAATAGGAAAGAACATTTAAAATTATGTGAACGTGATAGTTTAGAACGACCTTGAATATTGACCAATAAGAATTAGACTTACAAAAACAAATTTGATAAATATCCTATAATAACAACAATGAATCATCATGATACAACAATATTTTTTTCTTCTTTACAAACTTCTTTAGCAAACACCAAATATTCCATTAACCGACCAAATGATTACACCATCACCGGATGTTACTGAAATTGATTTGATTCCGTCAGCTGATGAATTTTTAGTTATTGCATGCGATGGTGTATGGAATTCAATGACAAGTCAAGAAGTTGTAGAATTTATTCAAGATCGTTTACATTGCCCTACTAAATTAAATAATAATAATCATAGTAATGTAAAGACTTTGAATAATCATTCAAATTCCGTTGATGATGTCAATGAAACTGGCGATGATTGTGTTGATGTGAATAAATCCAATTCGTCTGATCAATTGACAAAAATTTGTCATGAAGTAAGCTTTGTTACGTGTATCTACATACATACATATATATATATATATTTCATTTATAGATTTTTCATTTAAAAGATTGTTTCCATAAATATTGTTCCGTCTATCTCGAGTATCCTGGGACACCTGATTAGGCGGCAATGCTGTTGCGTTAGAGAACAAGTACTAAGTAGCGATGGCAAGTCAATAGATCAATTATTGAAACTTTATTAGTTGAGGTGGTCGGGACATGTGTTACGTATGCCCAACCACTGACCGCCTCGTCGAGCGATGTTTTGTGGTTTAGGAGTAAGTTGTAAGGATGCTAGGGGCGGCCAAATCAAAACATGGCGCAAATCCATGAAATCACTGACAAATGAACTGAGTCATGTTGGTAGATGTAGACTACCTGATAGGGGTCCGCGAGACGACAGTAACAGATAGTAATAAATGCTGAATGGCATGGCTCAGAATTGTTTGCAGTGGCACGAGTGCATCCACTCTTTGTTTTCTCTGAAATCTTAACCTTCTGAATTCTTCACCATCTCTATCTTTCTGTTTCTAAATTTATCTCACTGAATTATACTTGTTAAATAACACTTCCACTATGTCTAACACTATCGGATTGGAACTGATAATTGAGTGTCTCTGTGGTAATGCGGTATGGCAACATGATACAATTTGTACACCTGAACTGTTATTACTGACCATGTAATAATTAACCTTATTTAAACTATCAGATCATGTCAGTCAGTTGACTGCAACATAGAACTTCGTCCGTTTGTACGTATATCAGTTAAAGTTGCCATACCGCGGTCGCACACGGAGAAGATTAAGGGTTTGAAGATATTGTCAGTCAAGAAGTATAATCCAGTGCAATAAATCTAAAAAGAGATTAATTAAGAACCTTAGCTCATTAGATCGTCAGAAAGGACCAAGAATGAATGCATCTTCGGTCATCGCAAACCGATGTTAAGCCATAACATTCAAACGCTCTAACCATCGGTTCCGATTGTCTCGTGGATCACAACCAGGTAGGTAGTCTACATTTACTAACATGACCCAGTCCAGTTGTCAGTGAATTCATGAATTTGAGGCCAAGTTTTAGTTTAGCCATGCCTAACTTTATTCCAACCTGCGTTTCGTATACCAGACAATATTGGGTATACATAAACAGTAAGGCAATATGTTTTAGTTTTTTGTCGTATCATTCCAATGAATTTGTAATTAATAATTTTGAATGAAAACAATATTTTTTCCGAATATATATTTGTAGACCCTCCGGGGCGACTCCCGGTCTTAAGCCCGGATAAAGGAGGAGGGTTGGGATTGGGGGTTGGCGACCGCATCCCGGGAAAAACGCTAACAATAATTCAAACTATGCGCTAGAAGGTCTTCATTTAGAAGCGTTATGACGTCGCATAATGAAAGCCGAATTCCTTGTTAAGTCATAAGGCCGATGACTGTTCTGACAACCAGAAACCTTCCACGTTGTGAGCAGCCTGGAAGTAATATCCACCCTCATAACCCATGAAAGCACACGAGACCAAATTAATATGGTATGGCAACTTGAAGTGATGTACGTCCGTGCGTACGTACGAAGTTCTACGTTGCTGTGTATTGATTGATCGATCGATTGATTGACGAATATACATAACTCAACGAAACTCTTGTGTTTCCTAAAATTCAAATGCATACCACCATAATAAGACATCCGATGTAAACCTCTATTATTATCATCATCCGACATTAGTATATTATACATGATAATAACTCTGAAGTATATAAAATCTAAAATTAATACCGAAAATTCTCATTATTACCCTAGTACAATTCAGAGTTCGCATTTCTTCTCCCGAAATGCTCTCACATATGACCACGTGTGTATAATCCTACTGTCAGAGAAAGTTCCACTCATTGCTTTCTTACATCAACATGGCTGTTGAGTACGAACTAATCTTAGTTAGACCATTATTAGAAGCCTAGAAGTAACCATTTTGTCTCGGCAGTGTATATCCCACAATCACCATACTCGGGAATCGAACGCCATGGTCTTCAATCTTCCGCGTGTAAAAATGCCTGACCTCCAGACCACTGAGTCAGAATCGTATGGTGTTCATTTATGTCTAACCTTAATAAATCCATTTATTACCTTCAGCCGATTACTATCACCTATCCAACACTAATGGAACTCCACTGAAAGCAAACTCCTCACTATACAACTCCAGCAATACATTATGAAGCTGACCACTAATAGTCACCAAGCACATGATTGTTATTATTTAATGAAACGGATTTGTTTAGTTCTCATCAGAACTGTCTATAACTCATCATTACTGACATGAAAAAAGTTTAATGGAAGCTTGCTATGATTAATACATCATTGACAAAAGAGAGGTAGGCAGGAGAAACGGGATCGGAATAATGAAGGCTTACAGATAGTGCGTATTTATACACTAAGGTCGAATAAGAAAAAGCATCAACGTCTTTGACATTGACAATTTAGGATGACCAATAGAAAAGGATATTTGAATGATATTGACAGTCCCGATGACCAATCAGAGACAACATTGAAGTATTTGATCCTGACCAATAAGAACGATCATAATTTCGGCCAATAGGATTGTATTCTTAGGATATTTGGTGAATATCCTAACACTAACACATAATGAACACTAGCGTGAACAAGGAGAAAACGTAGCATGCGCACAAAATACACTTACGCTTATAATAAGGATAGTTAATGCCCAGCAGCATTCCAGGAAGTGAAAATTACAACAGGGACAGTATGAACATTTTCAAATCTAATTTAAGCGCCCCGGTAACTGATTTAAAAGTGTATTAAAACAATTCAAATGACAATGTGTTCAATAATTATCGGTTTGCTTGTTTGCTTTCTTTTCTGTTTTCTAATTCACATAGATTTTCGATCATTGTTTAGCTCCGAACACGGATGGTGATGGGACTGGCTGTGATAATATGACATGTGTTATAGTTCGATTTAATGATTTGCCTGGTTGGGTTGAATATTATGCAGCGAAGAATAATAATTGTAACAGTGTATCACCAATTGACAACCACTACTCTATGGTTAGTGATAAAAAAACACCAGCGATCCCAACAACCACCACAACAACCACAACCACACTGTCACCACGAAAACGACCATTCACTCATGACAATGCCGATGAGAATAATTATGATTGTGACGGTGAAGCGGCACGAACTACTGTTGTAAATGATACCAATGGTAGTGATACAAATCATGAATCTCTTACAAATAATGATAGTCGTCAATTAACGCCGACATCGACACCGACAACAACTCCGACATTGAAACGACCCAAACTGGATGATCCATTGGTAGTCGAAGAAGAAAAAGGAGAAGAAGGAGGGGAAGAAGAAGTTCCACCACCACCAGCAGCAGTAGTAACCAATGGTACTACTAACAGTAGTAGTAGTAGTAGTGCCAATAAGATCAACAATTAACGTACGATAAACACATTGTAGTTGCATTTGTTGTTTGTTATATAAAAAAAATTCACTTATTATTGTAAACATTATTATTATTATTATTATTATTATTATTATCGTTATTGTCACCCTTATTTGAGGCATTTGTTGACTAGTTATCACTACTAATATTGTAAAAAAAATATTTGGTTTTTCCATTGTCAATTCATGTGTTTTTCTTCCGTTTGTTGTCTGTTATGCATCATAGTCGCTCTCTCTCCTACTCTCCTCTCTCTGTGTGTGTGTGTGTGAATGTTCATTGATTTATTACGTTCAGTAATGATGAATTGGACACATTGTGTGTACAACAAGAAGAAGAACAGATGAGGTGGTGCATTTACCAATCAATCAATCAGTTATCAAAATTTTCGAGTGATATACTACTCAATCTACTTATTACTGATAGATAGATATATAGAGAGAGAGGAGAGGCGCAATGGTGAATGATCACACATCTGATCGTGTGTTGTTGTTGTTGTACACATTTCATCTATAATACGATTTACACTTTGTAACCTACTACTACTACTACTACTACTCCAACAATCACTACTACGACGAATAATACCATTGTGAACAGCAAGCATCTTTCATATGTGACTACCACCACTACACTTGTTCTCTATTCTACTCTTGTTGTATCCTTATTGATTGATATTTGTTTTGTATTTTGTTAATTATTAATCAAACGTCTTTTTTTTGAAACAAAACACTGAATTAACTAACTAACTAACTAACCCTGTTACAAAATAAAAAATCACACAGATGTAATTTTCGTGTTGTTTGTTGCACTATTCTAACCGTTTATTCTGTTGTAATTATTGATGGGGTGGGAGAGAAAAAAAAAGCAACTCAGTTTCTCCATTTGTCTCTTTATCGTCATCTGACTGCCACGATTGAATGAGTTCCTCTTGTTCTTCCCACTCTCTCTCTCTCTCCACTAAACTTTCGTGTTCATTATTCTCAAACAATGTTCATAGTTGTTTTGATGATCATTACTCTCTCTCTCTCTGTGTGTAGTATAATATTAAGCACAGACTATTACTCCTACTACTACGTGTACTACTCCTATTCTGTTCTCTCTTCATCTCGATCATCATCTGACTGAATAAGTTCCTCTCTCTCTGTCCACTAAAACTTCGTGTTCATTATTTTCAAACAATGCTCATAGTTGTTTTGATGATGATTACTCTCTCTCTCTCTGTGTTGTTGTTGAAGAAGACAGTAGTAATATAAGCACAGACTATTACTACTACATGTACTCCTCCTATTCTATCCTGTTCTCTCTCCATTTCTATCGTCATCTGACTGCCACAATTGAATAAGTTCCTCTCTCTCTCCACTAAACCTTCATATTCATTATTCAAACAATGCTCATAGTTGTTTTGATGATGATTACTCTCTCTCTCTCTGTGTAGACTATTACTACTACTACTACTACTACTACTACGTGTACTCCTCCTATTCTATTCTATTCTATTCCGTTCTCTTGTTAATTCACATTAATGTAAAATTGTTTGCAAACAAACTAAACTACTATACATGCTGAGGCAGCTCATCTATTATTATGTATTATAAAGTGTTTTTTCTTTTTAATTTTTTTAAAAAAAATCTGTTTTTGATTAAGTGTTTCAATGGACACTGTTTCTTTTTTTCTGGCCTTCATCCGTTTTTTTCTATGCATCGAAAATGGGCAAGTGTAGAACGAACAAACAAAGGGAAAGCAAAACCGTGTTTATATATTGGCCTTTTTCTTTCCTTTTGTTTTTAAATCCGAAAAAAATAATTTGTATGGTCGTTCTTGTTACTATTATTATTATTACGATACATATATTATTGATTATTATATTGCGGTGTACTACTAATCAATTTATTAATATACATTATTTCCAATGATTGACTAATTCTTCATGTTTTGTTGGTAACCATGAATCGATCAATGTTAGTTAGACCACCATTATAAACCTGGAAGCACTGGGACTCACCAGCAGTGCGCATCCACGACTCCTGCACCCCGCAGGATTCGAACCCACGACCTTCGGTATTGTGCTCAAACGCCTAACCATCGGACCACTGAGCCGGTATCCAATGGTGTTAATGTCTAACTTGATCAAATTCACAGAGTTGCGCAACCTTATACACAGTCTTCGGTAGTAGTTACTGTCTACACCCGAACAGGTTGAACTTCACTGGTCACGTCTTCCCACTAGAACTCGGAGAAGATTCCTCACGAAGCTAGTCACTAGTGAGCACAGGTAATTTGCATTACGGGGTTGTGAAGATTGGTAAGTTACACATTTTTGAAACCATGAATCCTGCGGGATGCAGGAGTCGTGGATGCGCACTGCTGAGGAGTCCCATACCAGGACGAAACGGCCGTCTTTCAGTGCTTCCAGGTTTCTAATGGTGTGGTCTAACATTGATCGATTCATGGTTTCAAAAATGTGTAACTTACCAATCTTCACAACCCCTGTAATGAGAATTTTTAATGCACAACATTTTCATGTGGTAGTGAATGTGTTTTTTTTGTCAGTTGAATTGGTTGAGACGTATGGTGTGTTTTACGTTTGTGTGTATGCTTGACTGCCGCCTCCGCGAGTGATGTGTTTTGGTGTGGGAGAGTGTTACGCCTGCACGTAAACACGTCAACTTCATATACTTGAATTAATACGAGTATACCTTCGTCGGAATACGAGATCGAGGATCAAGGGTCCGGCGACACGACATGCCACTCAAATCCGATTATCTCAACTCCCATTGAATAAAAGGAGAAGACTTGATATGAGTTAGAACCTGTATTCTTCAAGCATCCAGAAAGTACGACGTCCGAGTCCAGAAGAGAATCGGGATCCGGGTCCTGGTCATAAAACGTTACAGATAATGCGTATTTATATATTTTGGTCGAATAGTAAACAGCATCGAAGTCTGTGACATTGACAGTTAAGACGACCAATAGAAAGCAACATTTGAAGTGACACTAATAGTCAGGACAACCAATGAGAAACAACATTGGAGCACGTGACATTGATATCATTGGATGGATATCCTAACAAAGAGTCACAGACTGAAAGGTAGCTAGAGGCGGCCAGGTGGGTACTAGGTAAAGATGAAAAATCAGTAGATGGTGAAGTATTGAAACTTCATCAGTTGAAGTGGTTGGGACATGTGTTATATATGCCCAACCGCTGACTGCGATATAGGAATAGGTTGGATGAAAGCTACTTACTTAATTACTTACAACTGTTACCCCCAATGAAGCATAGGCCGCCCACCAGTTTTCTCCAACCAACTCTGTCCTGGGCTTCCCTCTCCAGTTCTGTCCAATGTTTGTTCATTCCTCTCATATCTTTCTCTATTTCTCGGCGTAATATGTTCCTTGACCTTCCTCTTTTCCTTTTGCCTTGAGGGTTCCATGTGAGGGCTTGTCTTGTGACCCAGTTAGGTGCATTTCGTAGTGTGTGTCCTATCCACCTGCAGCGCTTCTTTCTGATTTCTTCCTCCACTGGAATCTGGTTTGTTCTCTACCACAGTAAGTTATTGCTGATGGTGTCTGGCCAACGAATATGAATTTTTTGCGTAGACAACTGTTAATAAATACTTGTATCTTATGGATGATGGCTTTGGTAGTTCTCCAAGTTTCCGTTCCATACAGTAGAAATGTCTTGACATTTGTATTGAAAATCCTTATTTTGGTTTTGGTCGAAAGTTGTTTGGAGTTCCAGATATTTTTCAACTGTAGAAATGCAGCCCTTGCTTTGCCGATCCGCGCCCTCACATCTGCATCGGATCCACCTTTCTCGTCGATAATGTTGCCAAGATATGTGAAGGTGTTAACTTCCTCCAAGGCATCTCCATCAAGAGTGATTTGGTTGGTGCATGTTGTGTTGCATCGGAGAATTTTGCTTTTTCCTTTTTGTATGTTGAGACCTACTGTTGCTACACTGGTCGTCTTCTCTTGCATTTGTTGTTGCGTGTGCGATAGAAAAGCCAGGTCATCTGCGAAGTCCAGATCGTCCAGCTGCGTCCTAACTGTCCAGTTGATACCTTGCTTCCCTCCAGATGTCGACGTCTTCATAATCCAGTCGATCACCAGGAGAAAGAGAAAGGGTGAGAGTAAGCAACTTTGCCTGACACCGGTCTTCAACTTGAACGATTCTGTTAACTGTCCTCAGTGCACGATTTTGTATTTTAATCCATCGTAAGGATTCTGTATGATGTTAACTATCTTCTCAGGCACACCATAGTGTCCAAGAAGCCTCCGTATTGATTTCCTGTCCACGCTATCCGATGTTCTCTCGTAGTCGATGAAGTTGATGTAGTGTGATGACCGCCCCTAGCTTTCATTCATTTTTCTTTCAGCTTTGTATGAAAGCTAGAGGCGGTCAAACCGAAACATTGATGTAGTGGTGGTAGTCGGGCTTGCCTATCGTGATAACCCAATACATGTTCTTGTAGGGTTCTACCACGCTAGACGCAGGTCGGTTGGAGAAAATCCATGAAGTCACTGACAAGTGGGCTGAGGCATGTCGGTACGTGTAAACTACTTGGTTGTGGTCCGCGAGACGATACTAACCGAAGGTTAGAGACTTTGAATGACATAGCCCAAAATCGTTTGCAATGATGCAAGTGCATCCACTATTTGTATTCTCTGAAATTCTAATCTTCTGAATTCGTCATTACCTTAATATTTTTCTTCCTAAATTTACTACACTGAATTGTAGTTCTTGAAAAATTTCATCCAACAATAATTATTTCCACTACTGCTAATACATTTGCTATCATGGGATTTGAATTGACAATTCGATCGCTTAGTGTTAGTGTTTTACTACAACTTGAACGGGTTGGCATACGTACACGTACGAAGTTCTACGTTGATCAGCTAACTGGCTAACTTGTCAAGGTTTGTATTGGTGTATTTAGTGTGACTTTACTTTTTTTTAAGGAACACAGGTGAATAAGTAATGTATTCGAGTGCT